CAAAACCGGAGGCAATCTCAATCCCGGACTTCAAGCTTTATTACAAAGCTGTAATTGTCAAGACAGTATGGTACTGGCACAAAACCAGACACTAGGATCAATGGAACAGAATAGAGAACCCAGAAATGGACCCACAAAAGTATGGCAAACTAATCTGTGACAAAACCGTAAAGAATATCCAATAGAATAAAGACAGTCTCTTTCTTACACCACACACAAAAATAAACTCAAAATGGATGAAAGACCTGAATGTAAGACAGGAAGCCATCAAAATCATAGAGGCGAAAGCAGGTAAAAACCTCTCTGACCTCAGCCTGGGCCACAGCATAGTCTTACTCAACATGTCTTTGGAGGCAAGGGAAACAAAAGCAAAAATGAACTATTGGGACTTTATCAAAATTAAAGGCTTTCTGCACAGCAAAGGAAACAATCAGCAAACTGAAAGCTAACCGACAGAATGGGAGAAGATACTTGCAAACGACCTGTCCGATAAAGGGTTAGTATCCAAGACCTATAAAGAACACATCAAACTCAACACCCAAAAAAGCAATCCAGTGAAGAAATGGGCAAAAGACATGAATAGACACTTCTCCAAAGAAGACATCCAGATGGTTAGCAGACACATGAAAAAACGCTCAACATCACTCATCATCAGGAAAATACAAATCCAAGCCACAATGAGATACCACCTTACACCTGTCAAAATGGCTGACATTGACAACCCAGGCAACAACAGATGTTGGTGAGGATGCAGAGAAAGAGGATCTCTTTTGCACGACTGGTGGGAACGCAAACTGCTGCAGACACTCTGGAAAACAGTATGGAGGTTCCTCAAAAAATTAAAAATAAAACTACCCTACACCCCAGCAATTGCACTACTAGGTATTTATCCAAGGGATACAGGTATGCTGTTTTGAAGGGAAACAAGCACCCCAATGTTTATAGCAGCACTATCAACAATAGCCAAAGTATGGAAAGAGCCCAAATGTCCATCGATGGATGAATGGATAAAGAAGATGTGGTATATATACATAAAATGGAGTATTACTCGGCAATCAAAAAGAATGAAATCTTGCCATTTGCAATTACGTGGATGGAACTGAGGGTATTATGCTAAGTGAAATTAGTCAGAGAAAGACAAATATCATATGACTTCACTCATATTACTTTAAGACAAAGAACAGATGAACATAAAGGAAGGGAAGCAAAAATAATATAAAAACAGGAAGGGGGACAAAACATAAACTCTTAAATATGGAGAACAAATAGAGGGTTGCTAGGGGGGTTGGGGGATGGGCTAAATGGGTAAGGGGCGTTAAGGAATCTACTCCTGAAATCCTTGTTGCACTATATGCTAACTACCTTGGATGTAAATTAAAAAATTAATTAATTAATTAAAGAAAAGAGTCAGATGCTCAGCCAGTTGAGCCATCTAGGTGCCCCCTCAAGGCATGACATTTAATTCAAGCTGTGCTTAGTGGGAAATTTCATAACCTTGAGTGCACTTAAAAAAGTAAGCAAAAAAAATTTTTTTTTTCAAAATATCCCTTTCAAATAGTAAAAGAATAAGAAATTAAGGCAACTAGAAGGAAGGGATAAGTAAAAATTAATGAAATAGGGAGGAAATGTGCATACAACACAGTCAACAAAGCAAAAAGTTCTTTGAAAAGACCTCCTCCATGGAGTATTCAAGGACAAAAAGAGAATATCAAGAATTAAAAAAAAGGACACAGGAATTCTGATCCCACAGTCATTTAAAAAGATAGGAGAATGATATTAAAATTTTTTTGTGAACTTTAGATACAGAACTTCCAAAACTGACATAAGAAGAAACAAAATATTCTTTGTTTTTTTTTTTTTTTAATTTTTTTTTTTTAATTTTTTTTTCAACGTTTATTTATTTTTGGGACAGAGAGAGACAGAGCATGAACAGGGGAGGGGCAGAGAGAGAGGGAGACACAGAATCGGAAACAGGCTCCAGGCTCCGAGCCATCAGCCCAGAGCCTGACGCGGGGCTCGAACTCACGGACCGCGAGATCGTGACCTGGCTGAAGTCGGACCCTTAACCGACTGCGCCACCCAGGCGCCCCACAAAATATTCTTTGGATAGCTATTAGGGAAATTGAGTCTGTAATGAAAAACTTTCACACAAACGCTCTAGACCCAGATGGCTTCACATGTGAATTTCAGTAAAAGTTTTAGAACTAATGCTAAACTTAAACTGTTTTAGAAAGAAGGAAGGCAGAACATTCCTCTTTTTAAAAACAAGACTAGCATAATCTTGATCTCCAAACCTGACAAAGATATTATAAGAACAAAATCAATTGGACATCCAGTCTCAGGAACATTGATAAACAGTGTATAAGCATCTGAACTGAGTTTATTTATTAAATAAAGGTAAAGTTGGTTGGTTAACACCTTCAGAAAATAAACAAGTAAAACATACAAAGGGGTATCAGTTGGAAAGGAGAAGATAAAACTATTATTTGTAGATGATACTATTATATTTAGAAAACCAAAAAGTATCTACAGGTGACACACTAGAGCTAATAAGTGAGTTTAGCAAGTTTGCTGAAATGAACTCAGTACATAATTACCAATTTTAATTACACTAGGGCCAATTAGAAAATGAGAATTTAAAAACTGCCATGTACTATAACATCTAAAATCAAGAAATACCTAGGAGCATATTCTAAGACAGTTCTTAACCCTTCATCTGTAGAGAAGTATAAAATATTAAATGAAATTAAGACCTAAATGGAGAGGTAAACTGTTCACTGATTGAAGAATCAGTATTGTAAATATAATGCTTTTGTCCAAAGTGATGTGTAGATTAAGCACACTTGTAAGCAGATCCCAGGAGCCTTTCTTTTTTCCAGCTTTAGCAACAGAGATTTATATAAAAATGTCAGAGTCCCGAATAGCTAAGAGAATTCTGAAGGACAGCCAGAGGTGGAAGACTTATACTATCACTTATCAAGAGTTATTATTTTCAAAGTTACAGCATCAAAGCAATATAATTGAATGCAAAGGCAGAGAAATAGATCAGGTGAGAGATTCCATAAACAAACCCATACATATATTACATACATGGACACAGGTGGTATATCAGTGTTGTTACTGCCAAATCATGGGAGATGCAATTTTTTTTAGTAAATGTTCCCACATCAGTTGAAGCTCTATATGGGGGTAGGGGAGGGGGAGAAAATAAACTTGATCTCACACATCCTCAAAACCAGTACATGAATTACATATATATGTACATGAATTAGTGATCTGAATGAACCTTCAGGATGGTATAAGAGAGCATCTTCATAAAGAGTCTCTTCAAGATTGAGGCAGGCAAAAATTTACTTAAGTTGAACAAAGAAGGCACCAGCCAAAAAAGATGAGACCAGATGTGGACTCTGTCAAAATTAAGTCAAAAACACCACTAAAAGGAATGAAAAGGCAAGAAAAAATAAAACTAGTGGAAAATATTTGCAATATTTAAATAATTGACAGAAGACTTAGTATATATAAGGAACTATGAATATATCAATAAGGGAAAATGCATAGCCAAGTAGAGCAATGTGCCAAATGGCTGAACAGGAAATTCACAAAAAGAAAGAACGCCGTTACAAATATTATACCATGTTCAACCTCATTAGTCTTTGAAAAAAAAATGCAAAATGAAATCACAGTGAGATACCACCATGTAACCTATCAGAATGGTTTAAATAAAAAAAGAAATTACTAAGTGCCGATAAGAATATGGAGCCCTGGAAAACTCACAGGCAAGTACAAATTAGTTCCAACTACTTTGAAAGCTATTTGACAATACTTAGTAATACTGAAATTTTCATATCCTTCTGGTTGAATCCTATACCCAGTAGAAAGGCATACATAATGTTCACATCAGTTTTATAGAACGAAATTACAAACCAACCCAAATGTCCCTTGACGGTGGAATGAATAGACTGTGTAATAGTATATAGGAATGGCAGACATCAGCTATACCAAATACAAATGAATGTGCAAACCGTTTTAACTCAAGATAGCCAAACATAAATATATACAATTCCATGTACATGAAGTTCAAAGCAGTCAAAAGTAATTTGTGGTGTTAGAAGTTAGGGTAGTAATTACCTTGAGGAAAGGATGAGTGGTTAATGGCTGGTCAGAAGCCAGAGAGGCATTTCTGGGGTTCTCCTAAATTTCTGTTTCTCAGTCTGCACGGAGGAGTTTGCTTTGCAAAATTTTACCACAATGTCCACTCGTCATTTGGCAGTTTATTGTTATTCAGAAAAAGTTTATGTTAAAAAAAGACATACCTATTGATACAGTTCTCCCCATTGGTGGTTCTGACCCCAAAGAAAAGGACCTGTCCCTCAAAACATATGTAGAAAGGACCATGAACCATCTCTGTTAGATGACAGGATGTTTTACTGAAGCAGTGCTTATGATATCAGAAGTGCCTGTTCCTGAGAGAGTGGTTAAGTAAACCATGGGATATCCATTCTGTGGAAGGTTAGACATTCATTCTAAAGAAATTTTATATCCTAGCTGCAGAGATTTTTGTGTGATCTTGGAGAAGAGTAGAAAGGCATATTATTTATTACCTGAGCTTGAAGGAGAATTAGTGACCAGTGCAGAGACAGTTCAATTTTTCAGGGTACTTCTTTGTATAATTAAACTATTTCTTAGATGCTTTTACCACTGCTCCGTGGGGCACATCATTATGTTGACAGCAGACTCTTTCTTTCCTTCATCTTCTGTTATCTTATGGTGGTTATATAACCTCAATTCACTGATTGGGCCATGAATGATTATGGCTTATAACAAGAAGAGTGAGAGCTTTCAAGAGAGCCTGGGCTTTCCCAGATAGTAGGTGACTCATACAGTTGGAGAGCATGGCTATATCATGGGTATCATCTAACAGGATTATGAACACAAGTCTCAGTCCTATGAGATACATTTATTCCTAACGTAAGAGTACTGGCTTGTTTTTTTCTTTCGAGCGGGAACAAGAAAGTCAAATGGCTCGTCTTAAAAAACAGCAAGAAGAATTGGAACAGATGAGACTACGTTACCTGGCTGCTGAGGAAAAGGATACAGTCAAGACGGAGAGACAAGAATTGTTGGATATAAGGAATGAATTAAACAGGTATAATAACCAAAAAATTCCCTTTTTTTCCAGACACCAATGCAAGTTCCAGTAGGAGAACCTTTAATTGGCTATTGGTCCAAGGAAAGTACAATGTCAGAGCTTTAAGAAAAATGTAGTGGACTAGCAAAATAGAAAATCTACACTAAGGACCATTATGCTATTTTTTGCCATAAATGTAGGTGTATGTAGCTTTTTTGTTCCTATTCATCGCGTTAATCCTTTAAATTTTATTTTTGTGTGACTGCTGTAGGATTCTCGCTACTATTTCAAGGTAATTGATTACACCGAATTTTTAATAACATAAAAGTAAGACACTTCAAATCTAGTTGTATTATTAATATAAATAATAAAGTTGCCCTTACTTATTGAGCCCTTACTACAGGCCAGGAGCTTTTATAAATGCTTTCTTGGCTAATTTTTTTTTTTTTTTTTAATCTTGAAAGCAGCTTTGTGAAGAAGATATCATCCCCATTTACAGACGAGGAACCTGCTGATTAGAGATTTAAGTACCCTTTCCAAGGTCACATAGCTAGTAAATCATGGAGCCAGCAGGGTTCACATGTGATTCTGTGGCTGTGTTTTTAATTACTGTTCACCACTGGACTTCTCTGGAATGTCATGTTCATCTGAGTTACGATTTCAGCAATAGTGCATGTCAGAAAAGCCATCATTAGAAAGCAGCATAAGAACAAATTACGGACTTTGGGGGAAGACTTTTTAAGTTAGTTGATCAAGATACTAGTATTTTCATTTCAGCACAGCAAACCGTCTTAGCTTGGGCTGCCATCTGTACACTGGGTGGCTTCAACAACAGAAATTTCTTTCTCACAGTGCTAGAGGCTCAAAGTTCCAGATCAGGGGACCAGCATGTTGAGTTTGTGGTGAGGACTCTCTGGCTTGTACATAGCTGCGTCACACTGTGTCCTCCCACTGTCTCTAGTGTCTTTTCTGCTATGAGCAGGAATCCCAGCATGAGATCCCCACCCTTATGCTCTCATCTAAACCTACTCATCTCCCGAAGACCCTTTCTCCAAATACCATCACATTAAGGATGAGAGCTTCAGCACATTAACTTTGAGGGACACAAAATTCGGTCCACAGCACATACATTTGACAGATGCAGTCACTATTAGGTGGGTTCAGAGCTGAATTAAACAACTACACTTAGATATTTATACATAAATATCAGTTGGAAAAGGTTAAGGTCTGTCGTGCCATGCTGCAGACTCCATTTTCGGATTTTCGTTTTTAATCACATATTTGGTGGTCACTGTATTGTAAACGTGGAAGATGTTACAAATTAGTAACTAACATGATCCTCGCCTTCCAGCATTTTGCTGCCATATGCAGCTAGTGCATGTTTTGGTTCTAGGCCACTCTATATTAAGCCTCTGCTACTTACTAAGCACGATTCTGTTGGCTGAAGATAGCCATTTGGTATCGAATTTGTAGGTCATGCAAAATTAAATCTTATTAATAAGATATTAAGATTATTAATCTCAAGAAATTAGGATTTAGAGAGAACTTAAACCAATAAGTAGATTAGAAACAAAAGCAGAGTCCTTATAAGAAAAACCTCTTAAGTGATGGCCAGGACATAATAAAACGGTTGATGTGAGGAAGCCGGGGAGGATTTAAGTGGCCACTAGTAACCGTGTGACTTGGCTGTCAAAGTGCCACTGCAGTTAGGGACATGGAGAGACGTGTTCAGTTACTCAGCACTGGTAAAACCACACCTGGGGTGTTCTTACCCACGTGCAACACGTTTTCAAGTCAGTCACCTACCTTGAGGGCTTCCGATGGAATGTGACCTAAAAGGTGGTTAGGAGAGTGAGGGATATTGAACTTGAGAACTCTAGGGCAGAGTATTAGACAGCTGTCTTCAAGTAGCTGGAGGGCTACCGAGCTAAAGAGAAGTCGGTGCCCTTCCTGAGCAGAATCATAGCCAGCTGTTGGAAAGGAGAAGCCTGGACACTAAGTTCTTTGTAAGAAAGAACTCTAACAGAGCAGTTGTACAGAGCAGTAGGTTCCTAGTGATAGAAACGTGCAGGTGGAGGCCAGACACAGTGTTTGTCAGGGATGTAGAGTGTCCTTTGACAACTTTATGGACTTTTTCAGCTATAAGGTTCTAAAGATCTACTGTGAGCCTGATGGGTGATTTGCATTTTAGTCAAGATGCAGTAGGGATAATCTATCACTTGTATAAAAATTCCATTTATCTTTCATGCATAAACAGATGAACATGAAAATGGTTGGAGTTTCTAATACATAGTTTGATGTCATATGTCATTAGTTTGCACAGAGGACCCCTTTCTCCAAGAGAACTATAAAAATCACAACAGGGGCGGCATCCATACGAATTGCTCTAATTTGTACCATTTTTCCATTAACCATTTGATTTCCACCCCTGTCCCAAACCACAGTGCTTTCACCACTTAGGCTTCTTCTCTCACAACAGATGGAGATGTTTGGTATCCTTCTTGGACTGTAGACTTCAGTTTCCTGTTCGTTTGTGGGGAATCTTGTTCATACACTTTGAACAGACCAAAGTATATGCTGTCAAGAGTCCTGCACCCTTTCTCGGGGCTCAGTCCTCCTTGTCTGTGAGACCAGGACTCTCCTCACTGCATCTCCCCAACTCTGTCAATTCACAAGTGGATTTGGTTCTCATTGGCATGGTTACTCTAAAGACCATGCAGAAGCCGGGGCTCAGACTTAACTGCTTCATCCTTCTTATTTATAACAACAAAATTTAGGAGTAGTTGCAAATGAAAACATTTTTATAGCTACTTGCTAGAGGAATATGAGGTTCTCTCTTAATGGTATATTCTCAATTAAAACAAAACATATGCCTTGTCCAAACTTGGTATCACTATCACATAGTAAGTATACTAAGTATATGACATTTACAAGGCAGTGTGGTCAACAGTATTCCATCGGAAGTACCCCGATTCCACTCTGATACCTGCTCCATTCTCTGTCTCCTGGATGAGGCATCACAAACATAATGTGAAGACTTGGCAAACAGAGTCTTCAAATGTACATGCCCTCTGAACCAGGCATTCACATCCGTACAGTTTCACTTTCTACAAATCCTCAGTGACCTCAGCTCCATAATGGAAAGTTTTCTTCATGATTCACTGTAGTATCCCCAAAACCTAGTACTGTTTGGTACATTTGTGGAATGAATGGAGAAGGATATTCTGTTCAAAACAACAACAAAGGTTTAACCACAACCTAAATATCAGCATAAAGGATGATTAAGTAATGGTACATCCAAATGATGGAGTGTTGGGGAGCCCTGTAGAAGCACCCTTAGAGATGTAAGAAAACTTTTGTTATATTAGGAAGTGAAAAAAAATCATAGACAGCTTTGCCTGTATACTATCGTCAGTGTTTTAGAAAAATATTTAAAATACACATGACTTTTTCATAGAAAATTATTACTTGGATGGGTTATCTAAAGGAAGATCATAATGATTTCATTTTCTTTTTTTGCACATTTCCAGAACGTCTACAGTTTTTATGTATTTCATTATTAGAAAAACAAATATTGTTTTCAAAACTGTCTTTGAAGAGTATACTTACTCTGGCTAGCCAAGTCGAATGCTGGTTTTTGTCGTCTTCCTGAAAATCCTACTACAGACATAATTTACCATTAAGTCATTTTTTAAAACGGGGTTGTTAACAAAAAAATCAGAACCCAACATGGTATTTGCTGCCTGCTAGAGTGGTATTGGTTCTTGACTTCTCAGGTTAAGGCAACAAGAACAAAAACAGTACCAGGATTCCAGAGAGATTGCAAGTGGAAAAATGGACAGCCCACGTGGCAACCCATTGGAAGAAGGTTTGGATGATTATTTGACTCGACTCATAGAAGAAAGGGATACTTTGATGCGGACGGGTGTGTATAATCACGAGGATCGAATAATAAGCGAACTAGACCGACAGATCAGAGAGGTTTTGGCAAAACACAATGCCAGTAATTAATAACATTTGGAAAATCTTTACAGAGACTCCAGGCTTAAATTTTAATTTCGTTGTCAAACTCTCAAAAGAAGAGAAAATGGATGTTTTAAAAACCTATTTTCAATTTTTTACAAGGAGAATTTTGTATGTTATTGTACAGTATTTATTTGATTTTATTTACCTTATGCTACCTCTCCCACCCTGGTTTTGTCATTGCATTTTATACACTCACTTTAAATGACTTTTCATTATTTCCCATAATTTATGATTTCATGGCTAACTTTCAGAACAGCTTTTCATGAGATTTGTTCTTAGAGAAATGACTATGGTAGTTTCCAGTTACCTAATTTTTCATGTTGAGCCAAAAGAGTCTATGTTGCACTTTAAAAAAGCCGTGTCCTGTTCATTTGAATATAGAGATCTCTCCAATTTTATTTAACTCATGTTAGATGGCCTGTGTTTTTAACTTGTAACTATTTGCCAAGGACAGGTTTGACAACAGAAAACAGGATCGATGCAGAGAAGCCATAACACACACTGAATGACAAAAAAAGTCATTTGTGTAAATAAAATTCATACAGAGCAAACTTGTTTCAGCAAGTATTGAATTTCCAAATTTTCCGTGTGCTATTATCTTGCAGGAAGATGACAGTACTAGCTTTAAAAGGGATTTTTTTTATCTTCCAGTAACACTGATGCTCGTTGTTAACCCAAACCCTCTAATGTAACAGGCAAACAGACACAAAGGCCCGTGCTGAGAAAGGAGGAGTGAAAAATGGCTATTTTTTACTCCCCCTAATCTTAATCAGTCTTTTTAAAGTACACGAGATGAAGTCATTGGATTTATGTAGTGCCCTGTCTATAGAAGCTTCTGAGAATTCCTATACAACGTCTTCTTCGTGGCCAACATCTGTCCTCAGAGCAACACTTTCTACCTCCTTTTACAGGGTACCGAAAAGGCTGGTTAGCAGATTCACAGATTATGTGAGTCTTAAGATACATGCTGTTTAAAATTTCCCTGATGCCCAAATACAATAAATTTAAGTGTACTTCAGGAAATAGGTAACATTTACCGAGAACTTCCATAAAAGCAGAACAGGCTGTTGGGAAACATGAAAATAATTTTCCATTGTTTTCAAGGAGGTGTATTTTTTTGAAGAGCAAAGCCCCAACACACATTATAGGTTTCATTTTGTTTCCTTAATAACAAAGTATTCATCTTCTAAAAACAACCCAGCAGTAAAAAACAGAGAAAGAAATTTCTGAGTGAGAGAATACGGACTAGGTGAATCACAGCAGGAATCGGAAATATTAATTATGGTTAAACCTTTCTCTCTTTAACTCACGCCCCACGAATGGAATCGGAGTGTTGTTATTTCGGAAGGTCTCTGGTAAAATATTGTGACTGTGCCTTCACCTGCTTTGTGTGCTGCGTGTGACTGTTTTCAGACACTAGAGGGGGCCTCAGATTTAAAGAAACAAAAGGACTTTTCTCATCTGGTGTGTGGTTCACTTCGCCTTCTGTAAAGCTGTCCTCTGGCTCTGTCACTTAACAAATAAAAGTCATAATCCGATGTCTCTTGGAGATCCCGAGCAGTCTGTTACTGTTGTTCCGGCACAGGGTCGGCAAGCACTCGGTACTCCCCGTCTAGTCACTTTGTGTTTTTGGTTTTTAAATGCTTACATCGCGGATGCTTTTCTGTCTCTTAAAATTGGGAACATCTGAAACTCCTTTTCTGGAGTCCTTGAGCGACAGCCATTTCATATGTAAGTGTCCGTGAATGTGTTAACACCGGTCGCCTTACTGAGTTAGCATCAGTGTCTGAACTGGGAGTGTAACCACAGTAGATAAATATGTGGGGATTGGCGAACACGTTTCTCATTACTGCGCCCAGTGGCAGCCCTTCCATCCAATATTTTAGGGTGAAATAAAATTGACCTTTAAGTGTTCGTGGTCCCTCTACATGGAGAGAGTCTAGTTTCCCCGTCTGAGGCCGGCCTATCGTGCACGGGAAGGGTGGGTCACGTCTCCCAGGTCGATGCGGTGCCCCATCCGTGTAAGCGTGCAGAGTTCCCTTCTGAGTAGCCCGGTCATTTCTGTGTAGACCTCGCTTCCTGATGTGCCGGCAGATGTGGGAGTCCGAGTAGGATTGAACGATGTATCAAGGCACTGCACAGACAACTTGAGAAGACAACAGTCTTCTATGACCACATGACTTTTCTGGCCCACTTACTACTGTGTCCAGCGACTGCCCGGCCTGAATCTCATCTCTCAGTTTCCACAACACATTGCCTGTTCTGGTCTGAAAAGGGGTCCGCTGGTAGCTCTGTGTGGAATTTTAAAATTTGGCCTCTTGCTATCACTGTGTCCAGCTTGACTGAATAGCTAACTTGATTTTTTTTGTTGTTTTTTTTTTTTTTACTGGTATAATTCACAACCATAAAATCACTGTGGTTTTTATTTTAGAGAGTGCACATGAGCAGGGAAAAGGGAGAGAGAGAGAGAGAGAGAGAGAGAGAGAGAGAGAGAGAGAGAGAGA